GCTCAACAGGTAGTGCCAGATGGGCACGGGTGGGGGGGTGTCCACCTCCATGCTCGGCAGTATCGTTCTGGGCATTTTGTCATTAAAGGGAAGGGGCTGGGGCTGAAGGCCCGGGCCCCTGGCGTCCAGGAGGGCTGTCCTTGACGAGGGGGCGCACTCTGCACGCGCACTCTGCAGGGGAACTGCTTCCCATCTTGGGAACCTCCAGCCCCTCAAGATACAGCGACCCGTGGGAGGAGCTGGCTAGAGTGAGGGGGCACCAGAGGGGAACGCAGGGGAGGGGCCCTTCCTGCACATAGCAGGCAGGTGTGGCTGCCCCAAGGAGCGCACCCTGTTCTGGCATGTGGCGGTTTCCTTTCCTTGCACGGGGCCACTGTGCAGGGCTCTCCCTCTCTAAGGCGGAAGTGGAGGCGGGACCGCTCTTCTTGTTACCAGGCGTCTCCCCCCTCCCCCCCCCGCCGACTTGCGTGGAACAGATCGCCTGTTGCCTTCTGGGCACTCTGTGCGCTCGCGCTGCCTGGCAGTAGAAGCCGCGCCTTGCAAGCCCTTCACATGCTCCCTCTCCCTTGTCGTTCGTTTCCCACCCAGGCTGGAGAACCGCCTGACTGCGGACATGGCCACCATCCTGCAGCTGCTGCAGCGGCAGGCCGTGCTGGTGCCCCCCGCCTACAGCACAGTCTCTTCCCCGCTGCCACCACCACCAAATCCTGGACCATCCTCCGGGGAGCACCCCCTGCCCCTCACCCCTATCCCGGCCCAGGCGTTCTGCACCCCACCACAGGTGAGCGTCCCATCCAAAGGTTGGGTCCCGTCCCCAGATCTGCAGGCCCCGTGAGTCCCCCCATGTGCTGTGGCCCCAGAGCCCCTGCAAGAGTGTCACATGGTGCTCCAAGCCACCAGTCCCCAGTTAGGGAGCAATGTGCGCGAAGCCCAGGGCACGTCTGCCACACGGACCAGGCGTCTGGGCAGGCGGGCTTGGCATCCGGGGGCCCTCTGGTGGGCCCCACCCCTGCCTTCCCTGGCAGCTTCCCCCTCAGGGCTGCTCTGATCTTCTCTTCTGGGGCAGCTCTCCTTCCCCTTGGCTCAGTTTTGCTGGCGGTTGTGATCCGCGCCTGCCTCTCTGCCCTCTTTTCCCCTTGAAGGCAAGCCGGGGCCCGCGAAATCGCAGCATCAGGAGAGGGACTCGCACCCCACCCGCCTCCTGGGGTGGCCTGGGCCCCTCGAGCTGATCCCGCCTCTTGCTCCTGCGCAGATTCCCTGTTTCCTGGCACCCGGCATGGAGGCTGCTGAACCCAGTGAGGATGTGGTGCTGCTGGTGGAGCCGCCCTGCGCTGCCCCTCGCCGCCTTTCGCTCCCAGGACAGCTGGCTGCAGCACTGTCCCCGGACTTGCCCCCAGATCTGCACAGACACGGCTCGGACCCCGGCAGTTAATGGACTTGGGTGGAGGACCAGCCGAGGGTCTCTCAGCTAGCGGGGAACAGCCCCGCCTGTGGACGGGGAGCGCCAGGAGCCCCGCGGCTGCCCAAGGCGTGGCCGGGGAGGGCCGGCCACTCCACAATGTTAGCTGGCCTAACAGACAGGACAGCGCCGGGGGGGCACTCCCGGGGGACTGGCTGGAGGGCCTGGGTATGTGTAGGAGCAGTGGGGTTACGAAGATGATGAAAAATGAGTAGATGCGATGCCAACCAGGGTCAGAATGCCCAGTGGGGCCCTAAACATATCATCCAAGAGCATGTTGTGTATCATCGTTGCGGGGGCTTTGACCAACCCCAGGTCTCTGAGCTGGAAGGCCAGGAGGACACGAATGCTCCTGCAGGGGACATTCCGGCTGGACCCCCACAGCCAGCAGGAACCCCAGCCTCCATAGGTGGAGCTGGGCTCATTGCGGTCCGCCTGTCCGCACGTGCGCTACCCCGGATGAGAGCAATGCAGGGGCGTAGAATCCCTGGACCCTGCTTCCCTCTTCCTTGTTTTGAGATAAGCCCCCCCCCCCCCCCTACTGCATGGGACTGGAGGCGGGGTGCATCTCTTTACATCTCTGAAGGGTATCGTTCTTGGTTGGGTGCACACACACATGCCCCCCCTTTTTTGCCCACCTCTTCCGCTGCAGGAATTGCTGCTGGATGTTCCTGTTGACAAAAAATGGGGCGCGGGGGAACACGTCACAGAATGGCCAGAGATCCTGGTTCTTTTCTGCATCCTGCTTGCCGTAGGCACCCTCGGATCAGGCCGCAGCCAGAATGGTGCCCTGCTGGATGCAGCCCCCTTCCTTGCCCTCGCCCTCCCCCACTCCTGGTTTATCCTACCCCTCTTACTTGGGTAGGGGGAGGCTTTGTCCCATCACAGTGATGCTGACAGCCCCCACTGGCAGGTCGCAGGCCCTCCTGGTCAGCTTGACCCACACATCTGAATGCGCGTGACATGCCCACCCCGCATGCTGCCCTCAGCAGTAGCAACTGATGCCCAATAAACTCGGAGTGGATGCCTGCCCGCCCGCCCCTCGGTGTCTGGTCCGCTTGCGTGGGGGGAGGCGTCAGCTGGTGCAGGGGACCTGCAGGCTAGCCTGCTGGGCACACAGGCGTCAGCAATGGTGGCCTGGAAAACAGGAGAGCGGGGGCAGTGGGGCTGGCTGGCGAGTGTGTATTTCATGCACGGGTGGGGAGGGGAAACAGCAGCCAGGATGGGGGCTGGCCTACGGTGCCACACTTGGGACCACTCGCTGCGCCGATCTCGCTGAGGGCTTGTAGAGGCGGGAAAGGACGCCTGGACTGATCCGCTGCCAGGGGGCTTCAGGCCTGAGCCCTTGTGCGTTAACAGCCCACAGAAAGGCAACAGAGGAGCCATCAGCCAAGCTGCACGTGTATGTCGGGGGGCACAGCCCTGGGCCAACTGGTCAGGGGGAAATAAAGTGCAGTGGGCCGATTGTCCAAGGGTTGTTTGTTTGACTGTGGCGGCAGAGGCTGCTTGGCATGGAGACGCAGCTTAATACGTGGCGCAATAAAACGCAGAGGAACTGTTGGAACGAGGGGGGGGGGGGTCTTCAGTTTAGGAAAAATGCGAGTCAGCGGAGAGGACACAGTGGAAGTACAAAGGTATGGATTGGTTTTGAAAAGGCAGAAATTCCTCCTGCTTCGGGTTCCTTTCTGCTGACCCCGCCTGATCCAAAGGGATTCAAAACTTGCTTGGGGTTCAAAATCAAACGAACTTTGAGTTAAATCACAGGAGAGCTGATTCCCTTCGAAAAGCCAGGAAAACTCTTCAGAGCAGTTCAACAGGGAAGCTCAAGAGGTAGCGGGCCCCTTCCCATCGCAACTCTGTGCTGGCTGGGAGGGGGGTGAGGGGCCCCCGTCTGTATTGCTCCCGTCTGCTGGGAAGGCAGAATGGCCCTTACTCTCCCGTCCAGCCTCTGACGCTGGATCGCAACCTGTCCCTCCGGCAGAGGTTTTCCTGGGCATGACCACCTTGCACCTACCTTCTCAAATCCCCCTCCCAAACTAGAGTAGTGGGAGGGGGCCTGTGTTACCCCCCTGAAGAGTTCTGGTGGCCAGTGAGCCCAGGCTCCACTTCCTTGTGGGGGGGTAAGGCCCATGGCGTTCTGTGGCACACCCTTCCTCCCTGAGATTTCCCCCTCCCCTTATATTGGCCAATAACAATCCTGGCTTTCCCCTCCTCCCCCAAGCTTGTCCTTCATCGTCAGCTCAAGCTCGGGGTCAGTGTCAAGGTGGCCCTTGAGGTGCCCAGCTTTGCTGGGTAAGCCCACAGACAGATGCCAAGAGTTACCAGGTCTCTTGCGCTTCCGCCCAGCCTGCTGGTGCCCCTCTTGAGGGCCACTGGTTAGGGATCCATCTCCCTCCAAAGGCCTGGCCTGGACATGGTTTAGGGGTCCCGAGCCAGAGTCTTATCCTCACTATGTTCCCCCAGGACCAGCGCCACAGAAGGCTGTGTGGGGCCATGCCGGGATGACAGCGGGTCCCACACGTGGGACCCCAGCCATCCCCCTCCCCCAGTAAAACCACTGCCAGCACAGCACAACGATCTGGCCCCTGTGAGGCTTGGCCAGGGGTCTCGGAAGATGGTCCTGGGAGGCTTCGTGGCACATCCCCATTTCCAAGGACAGAGTCAGCCTTGGGCGGGGGGGGTTGGGCTGGGCTGGTCTCCTTCAGCATTGGGGGCTGGCTGTGGGTCTCAGCCTTTGCAGCCGGGGGGGTAGGGGGAGGCCCATGTGTCTGCTGCTGTGTTGAAAGGTGCCGTGTGGGTGCGTTTGCCCTGGAGAGGCCACTTTTTCCACCACACAAGAGGCTATGGTGGGGGCCATACCACACACACACACTCCCGTCTTCTGGCTGGAGCCGGATCCCTTGGCCTGCTGCGCTGAAGCTTGTCGGGAGTTTGCTGTCTCTGGAGTTGCCACAGAACTCGGCCTGGGGACTGCATGTTCTTTCCTCTTCCCCCCCCCGCACCCCATTCTGCACGAGGCCCTCCGCCATGTGGTGTCTCTTTCCCTTCTGCCCTTTGCATGCTGGATTCCCAAAAGGGGTCTCTGCAATGCTAGACGCACGGCATCCCAGAGCTCCTCCCTGGGCAAGGGCCACCCTGGGCTTTGTGGTTGCCGGGAGCGCATGGGGGGGGGGGTGCCGTTAACTGGCACTTTGGGGGCAGTGGGGGGGCCTTGGGGATCAACTTGCTTGACCTTTAATTACGAGCTCACTTTCCAGAGTGTGTTTTCCTCTCGTTCTGGGCACAGAAATCACTGGCTGTGGCATCTGAGCAACGGCAGCCTGTTTCACTGCATGACATAATTTGTACATTGGCACAATGTGCTTTGAAAGGTTTATCTTGTTCATTTTCACAACAGCCCTGTGAGGTAGGATGGCAGGTTCACATTGCAAAGGGGGAGCCATGCTTTAAAGGCCACCCTCTTGGGGAAGTACACATCTGGAGCCGAAGAAACATTGGACTGGAACCCGTTGCACCCTGAGGCATTCCCTTTCCCAGCGGGTGGGCCTTCCCAGTCCAAATCTTCCGCTTCTGCTGCAGAGCCAGTGATGGCCAGGAGGGGGAGCAGGTGAGATCAGCTGGGCACCTTCTCTGGGCCTGTGCCATGCTCTAGAAGAATACCGTGGGGATTGGTGCCAGCTGCCAGAAGCCCAGCTGCCAGCCAGGCCTGGGGAGGAACTGGTTTCAACTGACTTTGAACAGGGTGCCTTAGGTTGTATTACTGGGGGGGGCAGCATGATAGGGTTCTTCCCCCTCCTCCAGACCCTTTCTGCCCTTGCCCCTTGTCGGCCCTCTGCCTGGCCACGCACATCGCTGGGTGAGGTCCTTCCCTCGGGGGACGGCTGCTTCCCTTCTGGACTATAGCTGGCTGTAGGTACCGTTGTAGCTGAACGCCGTCGTTGAAACGCAGGGCTCGGGACCGCCTGGCGTCCAGCGCTTGACGTGCACTGCCTCCCTGCTCCCAGGCTCCCCGGGACGCACAATGATTGTGCGACGGGATGCCACCGACGGGTCTTCATCAAAGAAGTTGAAGGGGCGCAGGTAGAACCCGACCATGTTGCCAGGCGTGGCGGTGTTGGGGATATCCTCCGAGTGTGGGATGTGGAGGAATCCCACGGTCACCCAGGCCACCAGATCCTGCCAGAAACAAACCCCCGGTCAGGAAAGGGCCAACCGCCGCCCACCCGTGCACACACGCACGTGTGCGCACATACCCCCGCCCAGACGACCCCAGAGGCTCACCTGGCGGTCGATGCTGTCATCATTACGGAGGAAGTTTTCGAAGCTCACGCCAGGCTGCCAAGGATCATTCTGGATGTACAAGTTGCTGCTGACGTCTTCGTTCTCGCGGTGCTGAGTGACAGCCAAGTGGTACCTGCCAGGAGGATGCCCTGCCTCAACCTCCGGGGTGGCAAAGGTGCACTCGCCCCCCGTATCAAGAGAAAAGGCCTGTGTCCCTCTACCCCGGGATCCGGTCTCTGGTTTCCCCCCACCCGAGAGAGAGAGTCTGGCTGGGCTGCGGGCTCTGCAGAGTGGCGCGGCAGCTGAGCAGGACTGGGCTAGGCATGGTCAGAGCTGGGCTGGACGGACTAGACATCTTCCTCCTGATCCAGAGCAGGGTCCGTACACAACTGCAGACCCAGCCCGCAGCGCAGAGCCCCCTGGGGCCTTGCCCCACATCTCTGCTCTCCCTTCCTGCAGCTACAGGGGCCCGTCCATCCTCTGGTGTCCTCCACACTTAAGGTCTCTCCCATGCTGCCCCTTGACCCTGGAGCTGCTCCCCACAAGAACTGGGGGACATGGCCTTGGCCATTTCTCCAAATCCACCTCTCCTTTCCTGACACAGCCCTCCATCCCCAAGCTGCCCTTGACCCCAGCCTTGTACCCGAAGCCCCCGCTATCACTGCCTCCCCTGTTCTCTGCCAACCCCCTTGAGGAGAATGCTAGAAGGCAGAGACCCCTCCTCTTGTGCTCTGCAGGTGGTGCTGTGGAAATAAGACCCTGAGCACAGCGCAGCCCTGCTCAGCTGCCAGACTCCTCTGCAGGGGCCGCAGCCCGGCCAGTCTCTCTCTGGGCGATCGCTGCACAAAGCCCTCCGTGGGGAAGGTCCAGCTGCCAGCACAATGGGGTCCTGATCACACCTGGCCAGCCAGGTGCCCTCCGGCCTGCACCGGCCCAACTCACCTGCTCCAGGAGATGCCGTTCTCTTCCTTCCAGTTGCGCGGCAGGACTCGGCCACCGTGGGAGTTGAGCTGGATGCGGTAGCTCCGCGGGTGGCCCCAGCGGTTGTGCTGGGTGGGGTTGGAGAACATGAAGTAGCGAGGCAGAGGCTTGCCGAAGGGGAACGTGGCCTGGCGCTCCCGGAGGCGTGGCTGGTGATGCAAGCGCGGCTGCACCAGCCGGTGGCTCGGTTCCCAGGGCAGTGATATGTTCTCAAAGGCAATGTCCACTGTCTCAAAGCTGTTTTGGGTTCCTGTGGAGAAAGCCAAGACCAGAACAGTTATACAGTGAGGGTCCCGCCTGGCGGTGACGTGGGATGGAAGGAGATGAAAATCATCTCCAAGAAAGAGGAGGAACAGACACTCCTCGTCCTGCTGAACCCCTGGGATCTGAGGAGGGAACTGGAAGGGCTTGATCAAAACAGCTGGACTTCCTGTGATGGATCTGGTGGTCTAAGGTGGGAGAAAGAGCCTTGGCTCTGAAATAGAATTGGCTGTTGGTGACCCCATTTGACCTTGAGGCGATCGTGTAAAAGTAGGTGTGAGCCCCAGAATTCTTGGGGATAATAACAGGTCCAGCTGGGTCTCAGGCCATGGATCGTGCCAGGTCCTGCTTCAGAGGGACCCCAGCGGCTCTGGAGGAGAGAACCAAATGCCTGAAGAGGGCAGCATTAGAATAGCGCGCTCTTCGCCACAGAAGAGAGAGGGCAATCTCGCTTTTGTAGACGAGACTATTTGGAGATGTGCACCATGCAATGAAACAGCTTTAGAAGTTATTTCAAGAAAAGCCATTTCATGGGACTATTTGGTTTCCACATACATGGGCAACTGGAAGGAAAGGCTTCTGTCCAGGACAGTTCTGCCATTACATTGGACACGTGGACTGGGGATCCCCACCACTCCATCAGTCTATGTTGTGGAAAAGAGAACCTACCTGCGACATCCAGGTCAACCTTGTAATGCACCAGATGAGTGTGGATGTTGCCCAGCAAGTGTGCCTGAAGACGGGTGCCATAGTGGATCCCCCCTGGGGTGTAGAAGGAGGCATGGACATAGCCTGTGGCATGGACCTTGGCCTCCAGCACTCCATTAGGGTAGAGCAGAAAGTCCCAGATGTAGTCATAGTTGTATACAGTGGAGGTGGTCCGCATCACAAGGGCATGACCCTCAAGCCCTGCATAGAAGTTGGAGCCCCCTTGGAAGTTGCTGTCAAAATGGCGCCGCAGGGGCACTCCAGTGGGCAGCTCAAAGATGCAGATGGCACGGGGGTAGCGGACTGGCCCGTCAGCATCATAGTGGTGGTATACGTCCAGAAAGGTTGCCACTTCCGGACAGTCGATGCCTGGAGCCAATTCGTGAGTGACGCTGCCCATCCCCCATCCAACATCGATGTACTTTGTCTGCATGGCAGCAGGTGAGTTCCCACCATAGAACGCAATGGCCTCCTGCACGCTTAGTTCGTAGGCAATGCGCTCGCCATTGAATCTCACATCAAAGAGCTGCAGGCCAGTCGAGCTGCGCAGCCGGAAAGCAAGGCTCCACCCGCTGTACTCCAGAAGGTTGCCACGCACGTCGTATCGGTGTCCGTGTGTTTCACATACTTTGGCGCCATTCACATCCGTCGAGGGCCCCGTGGTGAACTGTCCACGCGGCACAAAGGTGGAAAAGAGGGTGTTGTCTGGATGTGAAACGAGCGGAACGATGGACACCCTGCCCTGCGCATATTGTTCTGCCAGTTCCTCTGGGCTGCTGAAGTACTGCCCGTTGTACCACACCTTCTCTGTGAACCACCGAGAGGGGTCGAGCTCTTTGTGGTTGATAAGGACTTCCAGGCCCACGGGGTGCAGGAAGAAGCCCTCGATAGAGCGCTGCAGCATGACCCACGTCCGCCGCTCCCCTGAGGCCAGGCCCCGCGGGGCAATGTCTGTGAACGTCAGGCATCGGTCATTGCAGTCCTGAAGCCCAAACCCTGAAATGTCCTGCAGGAACTGTTTCAGAGGGGCGAGGTGTTCCGCTAGCTTCTCGTAGAGCAGCTTGTACTCCACTTGGGTCATCGGTCGGGCCGTGTAGGCCGCCGGTTGGCCAGACGGCCGATAAAAGGTTGGCACAGGCAACGGGCCGACCACGTACTCGGTGATGTTGGGCCTGGTCCCAGTGCCAAAGAACACCACTGCTCGGGCCCGTCGCCGGGGGGGCTGCCTGCCCGAATCGAGGTAGCGCAAGGCCTGGCTTTTCTTTGGGGCTAGCAGCTCGATCAGGAAGAGGCTGTTCTTGGCAAGGGACGCCTCCTTGCTCGGCAGGAGCTCCAGTTCAGGGCGACTCATCAGGAACCTCCTGACTGCCCGCAGTTCTGCAGGGCTCAGGTCGGAGAACATGGAGGCCTTCTCTTGGGTCAGAGGCGGCAGAGGATGGGGGTCAGCCCGGACTAGGAGGCTGAGCATCCCCACCACGGAGGCCACGGACATCCACATCTCGCTAGGGGTCTGCTGGAGGAAACAGGCAGTCAACATGCATGCACGTGCAGCAGGCAGAGCAGACGCAGTACAGAGGAGACCGTGGCTCCCCTCTGGCCTGTGAACTGCGTCTGCTCTGACCGGCCTCAGCTCCTTCTAAGGTGGCAGGTTCCTGGAGCTCAGTGGATAAAGCTAAGCAGGGTGGCGGGGACGGGGACAGGGGAGGGAGAGCTGCTTCGCCGGCAGGAAGGGCAAGGGGAAAATGGCAAAGCAAAGAGCGATGAGTGGGACGGCCTTGCGGACTGATCAGGCAACAGCTACTTCCCAGCGCTGGTGAACGGGCGCAGCAGCAGGTCCTGCAGGCCAAGGGTGCTGCTGGTGGTCAAGGGGCCCTTTTGACACTTCCAGAGGCACCCAGCGGATCCCTGTTGGAGGCAGGACACGGGGCAAGTTGGATCCACCGCAGCCTTGACTTGCCTTGGACCTCGGGGCCTTGGGGCCACTATTGTTATGGGGGGCCTCCCTGACCAAGATGGTGCGGACCCCTGGGGCCTGCCAAGGGCCTTGCGCTGTGCCTCCCGCGGGCCTATCCTTGCTGAGCCAGGACTGATGGGAGGTCTCGTTCCACAAGCCCAGAGGCCACCAGGCTGAACCCTCGACTCCGCTGATGTCCCTGGAAGGAATCAGCAGCGCTGTGTTTTAGCCCTAATTCTGCAAGCAGCTGAGCCCCCCCTTCAAACGATGCGTGTACAGGGGGGACAGTGGGCTGGGACCCGGGGGGGTAGATGGCAGAGCGCAGGCCCCGAGTGGCGCCTGTGAACTTGACGGAGGATGGCCGCTCTCCCCTCTCGCTCTGGAATGCAGAACGCGCAGCCTCGTCTCTGGCCTCCTGCCCTGGGGAGCTCAGCCCCACGCCCCACCAAGCCCCAGCGCCATCATCTCCTGCACCCAACCCACCTTCCCTGCAGCCCCTTCCTGCCCCCCAGTCTGCCCACTCACTTCTGGGCCGCCTCTTCTGCGCTGGGCTGCCTGCGCCTGCCGCCACAGAGTCCTCCTGCGGGGCCACCCCTACTTATCTTCCCCCTTGGGGAGGGACAGTGGGCGGGTAGCAGGTGGAAGGGGCAGGTCCTGGCACTGGGCCGTTGGCTGGCACTGGGCACTTCGGGATTGGTGGTGACTGGCAGGTGCCAGGCATGGCACTCTCCTGAGTCTTCCTGGGAACCTGGCTGGGACGTGCAGCCAGGCAGAGGAGCTGGGCAGGGCCAGAGCTGGGCCGGCCCCACCTTAAGTCTATGAAGCAGCAAGCCAGCCTCAGGGGACAAGGGGAGCAAAGTCCTTCAGAAAGCAATTATTTCTCAGCTGAGCCTGAGGTACAGCATCGACCCTTAAGCCTAGCGAGAGAAGGCAGGAAGGGCGGAAGGGAGGGAGGGAGGGAGGGAGGGGCAGCTTGGCCTACCTGTTCCAGGTGGGATGAGCGGAATCATGGAGCCTTTTGCAAGGCACCTGGCACTGGATGCAGGGCAGCTACGAGGGGTAGGTGCCAACCCATGAGCACCGAGCTTCATTTTCAGCCAGGCTTTCAGAGCATGCACAACCTGCTGGAACGTAGCCCAGACAAGCAACATTTTTATAGGGGCTGCTGGCTCCGAGCCAGCTCTGGCAGACAAAGGCTCCATTGCCCAGCTGAACGAGGATCCGGGGCCTTCCCTGGCAGCGCGTTCCCTCAAGAGCTGTCAAGTCCCTCGTGGCAGAGGAGGAACGGGAGGAAGGGGAAAGCGGCAGGAGCATCAGGGATGCTTAAGATGAGGATGATGTTTGTAGGATTTACGGGGGGGGGCTAAGAACAGTCCATCCAAGCCTGGGGGGGGCTACTCCTTCCCCCAGTGCCCCGAGCTCTGCTCAGAGACCAGGAAGAGTTCCCAGACCTGGGCAGTGCTGAGCCCCTCTCCTGGTTGACCCAAGGAGGCCCACCGAGCAGGCGAGACGGCAGCTACGACAGCCAAGTCTGCCTGGCAAGCAGGAGGGCAACCCCCAGACCCAAAAGCCGAGGGGCCGTAACAAGAGCCGCTGCCTTCCATGGCTGGCCTGACTCTGCTGGGAAGAAGAGATTGGCCCTGATCCGGCCTGGCAGGAGCTTCGCGGTGAAGCAGCCTTGCACCCCACATCCAGGGAGTTTCTTTGGAGGGCGTGGCTGGGACCAGGAGCTGGGGATCAAGCCAGGGTGCCTTCTAGGGGCCCAGCGTGGTCCCCACAGCCTGTTCCCAACCAAACGCCTTCCCCGGTCTGGGAGGTCTGGCTGTGGAGCCGTAGAGAGGGTGAGCCGGACGGGACCTTCGGGGACGTTAGTCCAACTCCCTGCTCCGTGCAGGAGTCGCTGAACCGCCCCAGCCCCATTCGCAAGCCCCCAGCAAGGGGGAGCCCCCCCCCGCCTTCTAGGCAGACTTGCCCGCTGCTTCGGGACGTTCCTAATTTTTATTTTATTTATTGATGTTTCCCATTGGTCATCGCCCATCTCCCTACAAGCGACTCTGGGCGATTTACAGTAAAAGAATAAGTATTAATTAAAATACAGTAAAACCATAAAACCATAGTCC